TCAAATTAGAGCGCAACGGCAACTTTTGTGTTATCTTCCTAGGAAAATGTTCTTTCCTGTTTATATCGTTATTATTATTATTACTATTATTGTTATTTTTACTATTTTCAAACCTATTCTAGGAGGCACTGTGTAGGGAGAACGAAGGAGAGACAGACAGAAGAAAAGATGGGAGATAGCATCCGAGAATGGACAGCCAAGGAGCTGCGGGACACACTGACGAAATCAAAGAGCCGAGAGGAGCGGAGCAGATTTTTTTTTTCATCTGACAGAGGCGACCCAACATATGATAAATCTACGAGAGTAGAAGATAAATATTAACAGATTTACATGTCTCCAAATATTATATTTATAACTTGTAGTTTAGCGGGTTGTTGGAAGGCGACACTGGTAGCTTCTACCTCTTTACTTTACTTCTGTTGTTTCTGTGTCTATCTTACTTTTTCCAAGCATTAAATGACCATCATAATAACGATGAGCTACGCTGTACTCAAAAGCAAAAAAAAACAAACAAAACAAAGAAATAATCACGTGTAGTTTTTTCCTGTTTCCTTTTCTAGATGTTGCATTTTTATTCATTTTGCATTCATCTTATCAATCATTGAGTCTATTTACGTTGAATAAATTTCAATTTACCAATCTAATTATTTGTTTGTATTTATCTATTCATTTTATATATTTTTTTCAATTTAGTGTGACTAATTTTAAGGGGGGGGGGGGCTTAGTTACCATGGTGTGTGATGGTGGTGTGGGTTTAAGACGCAATATCAAAATATTATGAAATTAACAAGGCATGTGACTCTGTATATGGGTGAATTGCTTTTTCGGATCGGCTGGGTGGGAGCAGGGCACATCGTTGAACTAAAAAGCTGATGGCTCTTGTTCGAATGCCTAACCGGGTGCTCTTGTCTCCAAGACTCCCAACTCTTCATCATCATCATCATCATCATCATCATCATCATCATCATCATCATCATCATCATCATCATCATAAAGAGAGAGAGAGAGAGAGAGAGAGAGAGAGAGAGAGAGAGAGAGACACTAGGAAAATGTTCTTTCCTGTTAGCAACAGAAATCAGAGAGCTGTGTCACTGGAATAGGTTGTTTTTTTTGTGGGGGGAGGGGTGAAAGCAAGCTTTGTCATATTGGTGAAACTATGTCTATTCATCAGGCAAATAATTTTTTTAAAAACCACTTCAGTTTTACGATTCACGGATAATTATTTCGGATTAAAGTGCCAAATTTAAAAATTAATGAAAATGTTAGTTTCAGTTTGTGATTCTCACTCTACTCTAAGATCAAACACATTGTGATTATATGAATTTCTATTCCTTTTAGCAGTAAAATGAAGCTAATCTCATACTTACTTTTAAAACACAAAGTTCTAGATTCTTTTAATGAACGTAAAGGGGGGGGGGGTAACAAGAGGGAAAGTGGGTAACAGGAAAGAAAGTGGATAACAGGAGGGAACATATTAAGACTGTTATCAGGTTCTAACAGCAAATCTCCCCAAGAACGAAACACCTGTGTACATACATTTTTATTCATATCAACAAAAGGAATAACTGAAGAATGGATGGCGATGCTAAAGGCATGTATCATATTCTGTTATTTATTGGGTGTAGTTACCAGTGTAAAAAAAAAAGAAGAAAGGCATCGAGCAATAAGTGGGCGTTGAAACGAAAAAGCTAATGCTCCTGGCAGGGCCACCCATGCCATACAGGTCGACGGGTAGAGGTCAGACGAAGCGTGATCCACCGGCCCTCCAGGTTTCGGAGGTTCAGCTAAGGGCTCACAACCAAGACTAGTAAAAAGCATATGTTACGGAAACAGCAACAAAGAAACGAAATATATCGCGAGACATCATTGAATAGGATGGTTTGGACGCGTAAAGAGAATGGGGTCCCAACTCGTGATTCGATGGCTTCAGGGCAAAAGGAAGGATAATAAAAAAGATGGATTGATGGAGTCAAAGACATCTTTCAAAGGCGCAATAGCCGATCCGAAAAGCAACACACCTGGCCCATGTCCGAGAGCTGCATCCCTGCTCGACACCTCGCATTATAAGAGATGGGATAAAGTAACAGAAAAGTAAAGTTACCAGTGTGTAATGTTGACAGTTGATTTTGCAAAACCCCAACGTGGGTGTTTTGTATTTTTTCTTTCATTTTATTCTCAGGTATTAAGGTAGGTAAGATAAGATCGAGCACCCAGCCTGTTCAGATTAGGACTTACAATTTCAAAGGTCCCGTATGATAGTTTCACTTGACCAAAAAACCCCCAAACAAACTTGGTGGTTCTAAAACTGAAAAATATAGGACTTTCAGCAAAAGTCAAGTTTAATTCTGTCAAAAAAACTACTGTATTACAGCAACTCTAGTCAGTATAAACAATAAGAGTGTCTTTGAAAAGTACGTGCCTGTCAGTCCAGAGATTTGATGGTTCTACATCTTCATCTTCACCTATCCCATAAACTGGATGTCCGTCGGGGCGATTTTGAAAATTTGGCCTCCAGCTCACTCCACTCCTTCCGGTCTTCAGCTTTCTGTATCCTGTATTTGAGTTTCAGGCCTGTCCATTCCTTGATGTTTTCCTCTCAACTCTTCTTCGGTTTGCCTCTATTCCTTTTCCCCTGGACTCTGCCTTGCAGGATCATCTTGGCAAGGCCGGATGAACGGGTGATGTGTCCATACCATTGCAGCTTGCGTATCCTGACCAGAGTGAGAAAGTCAGCATACGGTCCAGTTTCAATTTTTATCTGTTGTTTGACTTCATCTTTTGTGAAGTGATCTTTGTATGAGATACCAAGGATTTTTCGGAAGCATCTCATCTCCATAGCTTTGATCCTTATTTCAAGGTCTGCATTCGTGGTCCAGAATTCACATGAATACATGAATACTGACATGACCAAGGGACGCATGGTGATATTTTTGTCGTTCCAGATGGTATACAACTTGGTCATTGCTGTTGAAGTTTGCGCTTTTCAGGACATTATTTCTGGTTTTGATCCTTCGTCTGTCACTATTGCACCCAGGTATTTGAAGCTGCGTACGGTCTCAAGCCTCTTTCTGTTGACCTGGATGTCCACTGTAATATTCTCGTTGGTGTTAGACATCAGCTTGGTCTTTTCAGCGCTGATTTCCATACTGTCGGCTGTGGAGGTCTTTTCAAGATGGTCTACTCTTAAGCTGTCTAGTTCTTGCTCTTGTTCCGAATGCCGTCTATGACGTCTGCAAAACGTACGTTATTAATCGTTAGCCCCCAATACTGACTGTTCCTTCGTGATCTTCAAGAGCATCTATCATGATCCTCTCCAAGAAAATGTTGAAAACAGTGGCTGAGAGCAGACAGCCCTGGCGTACTCCCACTGTTGTACGGAAACATTCCCCAATGTTGGTATTGAATAAGACTGCTCTCGTAGCTTTGTTGTATAGTCTTTCTGTAGCATTCTACATGTGCTTACATAAAACGGCAATGAATGTTAAATTCACAGTACTGTAAAGTGATGAACTTATCGTCATTAACTCCCTGGGCTGTAGCAGTGGAACGAGAAGAAGAAGAATGAAGAGTTCACAGGTACACTCGGGTGTCGTTATCCAATTATCTTTAATCCCCGAATAAACGTAAAAATCTCTTCCACAGGTGGTGGTAAAGAAATTTTTTGGGGTGAAAATTATGAAGTTATCGCAAACAGAATAAAGATTTAAAAGATTAGAGTGCGCATGCATTTGACTGATCCTTCGAGTGAAGGTTGTGTGTCTGTGTGTGTGAATGATCTCTATAGTTCGTGTGTGTGTGCGTCTCTGTGTGTAAGTGTGTGAGTGTGTGTGTGTGTTTGTATGTATGTGTGTGTGTGGGCGTGTGTGTACGAGAGTGTGTATGTGTGTGTAGAGATGTATGTGTAATTTTAAGTGTATGAGCGTGTGTACATGTGTGTATGTGTATGTGTATGTGTGTGTGTTTGTTTGTTTGTTTCAGTTTAAGCTTAAGAGTCTTTTCGTGTGGGTATGAGAGAAAGTTTTAAAAAGTAAAATAGTTAGACAAGGAGAAAGAGAGAGTGGGAGAAAGAGAGGCTGACAGAAACACGGACAAATAAAGAGAGAGAAGGAGAAGAGAGAGAGAGAGAGAGAGAGAGAGAGAGAGAGAGAGAGAGAGAGAGAGAGAGAGGGGGGGGAGAAAGAAAAAGAAAGAGAGAGGGATAGAGACGGAGAGAAAGAGAGCGTATGAGTATAATATCGTATAATAGAAGCGCACGTGTAATATGCAAACAAGCGCATTCATATCCGTGTGCTAGTGCGATCAGTCAACACCCCGAAGCCCCCCACCCCCTTCTCCTCACCGTGTTACCCTGTACTGTTATGCTTTTATGTTTGCTTTGGTATATGTTTTACGGCGCCAGCAACTGCTTAAGGACATATGAGCGCGCGGGACATGTCAAACGTTTCCAGTTTAGTAGGAATGTTTAATTTTGCCCTGAAAAATCCTACTCTTATTGATTTTAAGACCATCAAGTGTTCTTTAACGTGCGCAAGTTGCACACCGGACATCCGAGATTTTTTTGCCCTTATCAAAGAAGGCTATGCGTTCGATCTGACTAACCCTAGGATCGAGGGTATGGCTGAAAGACAGCTGTAGAAGGAGCCAAGGGGTAGCAGTAGAAAGGCTGCAGAAAGAGTCAGGAGCCCTGAGGAGGGAGTAAAGGCGGGGGTGTGGGGATTTATGTGAAGCGTGAAGACAAAATTAGTTACTTCTTGGATTTGAACCCTATGAAAATAGATACATCACACTCAAAGGATAGGTTTTTACCTTTCATAAATATGAATTTAACAATAAAAGGCATGTTTTACTAAAAGAACATGGCATCAAAAGAAAATCTATATATTTTACCCTAGTATCGATTTTTTTACCAATATCTCCATTTGTGGATTGCAAGAAGTAACTCATTTTGTCCGCTCGCCTCACATATTAGTATTATTATGTTAAACACACTAGGACCTCACCTGAGTTTGGCAGCATCCTTCTCCCGCATCTGAAGCTCCAGGTCCTTCCTGTAGGCATCCTGTCTTCTCCGCTTAGCACTGCTGGTAGCGTCATTGCCTGAGGGGACACAAATCGCCAGGGAGTGAGGTTGTTTAGTCCCAGTGTTAAGTCATATACAATAAAATTAGGTGGTATAAGTGCCTAATACTAAAAGTGTTACTAGATGGTACCATTCTAATAAGAGAAGGAGAAGGGACTAGGAACGAGCGATATATGTTTGATAGGAAAGATGGAGCAAACCACACCAGGGCACCATCAAAGCTCCTTAACCATGTGAGTTTGACATTGACTATACAGACACAGGCTTTACTTTTAATACACACATATATACAAAGACAGACAGGCATACAGACAGACAGACCACACACACACACACACACACACACACACACACACATACATACAGACACATACACAGGCAGACACATACATAGACGCACACACACAGACAGGCACACAGGATGGTTTGGACGCGTAAAGAGAATGGGGTCCCAACTCGTGATTCGATGGCT